GGGATTGGGAAGTGCTCTCCACATGCTTTTCACTCAGGGTTTTCCTGCAAGAACGGGCTTTTGTAAAGCTTGAGCATAAATATACATAAAAGCTAAGAGACACTTCCTCCAAGAGCAAAGCCAAGATGTCTACCCAGAGACATGAGTCATTTTCAGRCCCAAAGACGTAAATGAAAATCCACAGATCTGGAGTATTCCTAAGCTCCTTACTCATTCTCCACTCTATATTTGCTCAAAGGAAATCTCATTTCCCAGCTTAATTATAAAGTGGAGCTGACACTGTCGGCCAAGTTCAAGGTATGTAGAGCATCCRATTGCACCCAACTTGGTCAGTAGGGCCAGACACAACACAATGAATTCCTCTCTTTTCCCAGATAAACCAAGGATCAGGCTGCCACCTCCCCTGTCCCCTTGTGACGCTGCAGGATTTACACGTGGTGAGTGAAACTCCACACCCACAAGACACACAATACCTGGATGGGGAGCAAAGCAAGACAAACAGCAGCCAGGAGATGTTCTTCTTGTGAAGGATCTCATCYCCAGCTCAGCCAAGCAGCTCCAAAMCCAAACCCAAACCCACCCTGGGGAGTTATGCGGAGGAGAGACCTGAAGGGGTTTCTTCCAAATGTTTTCATTCCACACAAATGCCTCCAGCTACTGATGGAACATGAAAGGCAAAAGTCTCCTGAAAAATCCTGGGGAAAGCACCTCGTGCTCTGGTTTCAGGAAAYGCAGAGCTTCCTCAGGACCATGTGAGGGTGGAAGGAGGAAATCCCCTCTGTGCTGGACAGGCAGGGAATTTCAGGGAAGTTCAGGGAATTTCAGGGATGGGGATGATGTTCCTCCCAGGGCTTTGCTTGTTTGTTCCAGAGCTTTGCTCTTTGGATTCTTTTGGAGAATCGCTTTTTTTTCAGAGGGAAGGAGTGGTTTAAAGGCTTTCCAGAACAGATCAAGTTGGTTTCTCTATTCCTGCTAATATTCTCCCTTCCCTCGAAAGATGATTTGGGATTTCAACAGAAAAGAGACTGGCTGAGATCCTCAGGTCCTGGGATCCTGGCACCAGCCAGACTGACTCCATCTAAAGCTCAGTTACAAGGAATGGCCATAATGTACTCAGCCCTTTATTTTATTTTTTATTTATTTATTGGAGATCATATATTGGAGAAAAACAACTGAATGAAAGGATCATTAGTGAACAATCTGAAGCACATGAAAACTAACCTTTGTATTTTATGATAAAATCCTTGCCAGTACAATAACTGCTCCAACTCCAAATATAAAAAATACTTATTTATTATTTATGCAAAAAGAATCAGTTTCGGGTAATTGGAACACTAAAATAAACCCCAAACCCCAAAATCAAGCGCATTCCCTCATGCTTACAAACATCTCATAAAATACAGAGAAAGACTAAACATCATTAAGTAAAGCACAAATTCAGGCACAAGTAGAAGAGGAAGAAAACCATGATCTAAATTCTTAAACAATGAAATACTCTAAAAACGGAGTCTGAGAAATTAACTATTCTTTTATCAGAAGTTAATGAAGCTTACAGGCAGGAGGATAAATGCCAAGCCTGGAGCATGCATGCTGCTACCAATTAACAAAATGTTCCCGCCACTTGTAAACAGTTCATTTATTCTTTCTTGCAWCCAAGCAAAACTTGCACTAGTAATTTGAGGAAGGAATTGTTATTTGGGAGAAATGTTGCTAAAAACAATTGGTGGAGAGCAGGTAAGGTACTCAAACTGACACCTGAAGGGTGCTGGGGAGGTTTGTGCTTTGCTTTTCCAGATTTTTCTTCTGGTGCACCTCAGATGAAAACTGCTCTGTATTCCTGCGATCCTAAAGCTGTGCTGTTGCTCTCAAACTCACAGGATTCTCCTAAAATCCTCAAAGTGTAGCATAMACAATATTATAAATTCCTATTTTGCTCCGAGATACCAGATTTTCAAATCTGGCAGCTACCAGAGCTAAAGATGCCAAGGCGCTGAAACGAGGGACAAGGTTTGGAATAGCAGAGAGGTGAATATCAACTTGCAGGAGTTAAAATTTATACAGAAATCTTGTTTCTCAGCTGAGTGTGGACAATAATCCAGACAGACTTCCTTGAATCCACAGCACCCTGCCAACAGGAAGGGAAATGAACTGCTGGGTGCCCAGGCGGATGGGCAGGGAGAGAGAACACAGCCACYGTGCCCTGCACTGCTCCAGTGCCTGGAAAGGCTCTCACAGGGAAAGAGGGTTTGTTTGCAGTGGAAAGGAGCCATGGGACACTGCTTCCTTTTATTTCTGTGCTCTGAACAAAGAAACAAGCCAGAGACCCTGCTCTGGGCTAACATCTCCTCCTTCAAGGAGGAGCATGCATCCTTGGATCTAATGCCATGCATCTGCTTGGATCTAATTATAACTATAATTCAATGATAAATAAAATTTCTTGYATGAGTGATCATTCTATAAAGAAATCACCTTTTCCCTTTCAGTTCAGTTGTTTCGTGAAAATCAGGAACTCCCACTTATTTCCAAAGGAGCCCATGTGCTCGGTCTGATCAGTGATCACTGTAAAAGTGTAATTATGGCAGTGGCATTCCTGCAAATCAGCACTGATCTCCTCCATGGAATGGCAGCCAACAGATGGCACAGGCAAACCGACTGCATTGAGAAAATCAACATGTTTATTTGGGAGCAAGACATTTCCTAGAACTGTCCTGGGGAGTCCTCCTGCTCCAGATTCCTCCTGGAAAACGCTCGGTTCACAGTCACTGGATGGATGTGTCTCTGCAGCTCAGCTCCTGTGTCTGAGGGCACGGTGAAACCACATGGAGAGGATCTTTGGAATAACTGAATAAACCTGGAAAAGGCTCATCCACCTGAATTCCTCCCACATTTGCCATTAGCAAAGGAGTCCCCTCCTCTGTGTCCACTGCAGCCTGACTGGGCTGACAACGTGAGCTGTCAGAGGGAACAACTTCTCTTCCCAGCTGCTGCTGCCTGCCACAAACACTTGAGAAGCTCGGGAACACGGCCTGTTTGGATTAAGCAGCTGCTGGAGGGGTAAAAATCCCTCCC